TCAAAAAATACTCTACACGTATTTTTCACTTTTTCAAACTAATGAAAATTTAAACAGATAAAGCGCGCCAAAGTTCATAAGAAGAGGCCCGTGACGTCAATGCTTGCATAAAAGTGCCGCACTTTGTGACGTCGTGCGGAACTTCAACGCACCAAAACTATGTAATTATTTGTTAGATTGACAAATAAAAATATATGTGTCCAATATTTTTTGATATTAAACATGACGGATTAAAACAATTTTTTTTAGGAAACTAGCCTATTCCACCTCAGATTTAGGATCAAATCGTGGGTCATATCGCGAAAAGGCTTATCTAACAAAATGATGATATTGAGTTAAACAAACCAGGTTATAAAAACCTCACAAAAGATCGTAACTGAATTCTGTGTCAGGAAGCCAGTATTGACAGTTAAAAAGGGCCCGAAATGCATTTTTCCATACTTAAAATTTTCTATAAATTTCGTTCCTGTAAAATTTACAAAAATCAGTTACGTCTTTTCGTGATTCGACCCACGAAATGTCACGTGGATATCACCTCTCCCATTGTCCTAGCTAGATAAAACAAACGCGAAATAGCAATGCATCTCGATACAAAAATATCAAGTATGTAATTTGTTGTATAAAATGGGGATGTTGCCTGGGTCAAAAAGCAAGAGTTTTTTTTAATTAGTCCGTCAGTTAACTTATCAAAAAATACTCTACACGTATTTTTCACTTTTTCAAACTAATGAAAATTTAAAGAGATAAAGCGCCCCAAAGTTCATAAGAAGAGGCCCGTGACGTCAACGCTTGCTTAAAAATGCCGCACGTTGTGACGTCGTGCGCAACTTCAACGCACCATAACTATGTAATTATTTGTTAGATTGACAAATAAAAATATACGTGTCCAATATTTTTTGATATTAAACATTACGGACTAAAAAAATTTTTTTAGGCTACTAGCCTATTGGTCTACGTAATCACGTGTCATGTTACATATTGGTCACATTACGTCGCGTCGCTTCATGTCGGGTTCCGTCACTCATCTCGGACAACGGGTCAGCCTCGGTACACTGAAGCAGTGACCCCACAACTGCAGTTGTTGGTAAATTACAGAGCATATTAATGCCAACTTACCGACAATAGTCCCGTCGGAGGTGGGCGGGGGCTCGGGCGCGCGCGGCGCGTCGAACACGTCGTCGCTGCCCGCGCTGCAGTTCAGCAGCTCGCCCACGGACCCTTGCTGTAGCCGACAAGATGCTCGGTTTAAAAAAAGACATAGTAATGTAATGTTTAAAGATATTAAAATAACGGGGATTCCATTTGCAGTGTATTACGATTTCATATACAAAATTTTAGATATTGATAAACACTGTTCTCCGTTTCTGGCGCCGTTTGTCAAATACATTGCACAATCCTAATATGCTGTCGGAGCTGGAGAAGTGCAGAGAGAGAAAGAGAGAGAGAGGGCTGTGCCGTTACACGAGCGCCATAAAAAAGACCTTGACTGCCGCTCGCACGCTACAAAAAATGGACGCGCTGCGCTGTCTCGCACGCTACAAATAGTGTACCCGCCGTGTCTCGCTACAGACAGTGTACCCGCCGTGTCTCGCTACAGACAGTGTACCCGCCGTGTCTCGCTACAGACAGTGTACCCGCCGTGTCTCGCTACAGACAGTGTACCCGCCGTGTCTCGCTACAGACAGTGTACCCGCCGTGTCTCGCTACAGTGTACCTGCAGGCTGTCCTTGCTCTCGTGGCTCAGGTACGTGGACACGGTGTCGACGCTGTGGCGGCGCCCCGAGCGCGTGCTGCCGCACTCGGGCTCGCCGCACTGCTTCTGCTCCGCCGCGCTGTCTCGCGGCGCCTTGTGCTCCACGGGAGCGGCCGGGGGCTTGTTGCTGTTACCTGGAGATCATTTCGACGTAATGAAACAGAGGCAAACACTGTAATCATTCACTATTAGCACGCCTAGATTGTCTGTTGTGTAGTAGCAGCCCCAGAACGGGGAGAGTTGCTTCATAGGGACAAGGACTACAACAAAGAACTTAGCATTGCGCGCGGCAGAGTGCAACCTGCCACGGCAGACGCAGTTCCGCGTGCATCTCCCGCGATTCGGCCAGTTATAACCGGAAGGTTGGAATGGCCATGGGTGGTGGTGGGTTTTCCGTGAGGGAGAATGCGGCGCGGGCGCGGGCGGCGGCGCGGGCGCGGCCGGCATGGACTGCGCCGACTGCACCGACTGCACGCTCGAGCCCGTGTGCTGCTGAGGGATGCGCGGCCGGCGCGCTGCGAGACGGAATTTAAACATGACTGAATACTCCTTAGGGCTATATTTCACCGAGACACCATGGCGGCGCAACCAGTCGCCGGCTACCAACTAAATGTATACAGCTCTATAGAGAGTTACTCACCTGGTGTCCGTTTGGTTGCGCAAAGCTGTATACATTTTGTTGGTAACGGCGACTGGTTGCGCCGCCATGGTGTCTCGGTGAAATATAACGTACTCTCTTGTACGTTTGTTGACGTTATCTTACTTGAAAATTGATTAAAATTAAATAACAAATAACTAGTCACTGCCTTTCTATTTGTTAGTTTTTTTTTTGCAACAGTCCACATTGCATGCCGTGGCAGCCTCTAATTAAGACAACACTTAGTTCTAAGCACTTTTAGTTATAGTAATTCATTTCCATGTATGCGTGTTTGTCTTGTTGATTGTCCTAGTGAAAAAATAAAATAAAAATAAATTTGAAACTTAATTTTCATACAATAAATTAAACTTAAGTCTGTCTATAGAGGTGTCGCGGCTATGATTCATAGTATGATATAAAAACAATGGTTTAATGTTACAAGGTAAAGACGCTATAACGTCACGTGTATTTATATTGGCACGTATCTACTCTTCAAATATTGTTTAAGCCCCACCCACCTACTTTAACTATAAAGTTAATAAATAGGAATGGATCAGAAAGGACAATGGGCAAAATGGTACCCGGCTCCAATAGATATGCTTCTAGTGTCGTTTGAAAGGTCTTACCAAGACGAACAACTTTTACTATGGCCACCAGCCTCAGATCTGGTTGTGTTCGAAGATAAACATACTTTTTTGCAAAATGGTACCCGGCTCCAATAGTTATGTTTGTAGTGTCATTTGAAAGGTCTAACCAAGACGAACAACATTTACTATGGCCACCAGCCTCAGATTTGGTTGCGTTCGAAGATAAACATACTTTTTGTGTAACCGAAGTATCATACGTGTCCATCTTATGGTACTTAGGTTATGCGAGGCATGAAGGGTTTACTGCTCCAGCATCCTTCCTTAACTATTGGTATAATTATTGGTAGAGATAATTGTGAAATAAATGTTTTTATTTGAAGAACTACTACCCCCTTATTTAAAAAAAGTTATACCTAGGATGAACCTTGGATTAAAATGACAAATGACAATTTAAATCAGAGTTCAACTAGGGTGTAACTTTTATTAATAAAGGGGTTTTAGTTTTATTATTTCAAGGGTTTTATTATGGGTTGCTAAAGTGAATAAACCCACAAGACCCAATAAGTCTACCCACAAGATGGACCGACGACCTTATAAAGGTAGCGGGAAGGCGCTGTATAGAGGCCGCCACCAACCGGCCATTGTGGAAATCATTGGGGGAGGCCTATGTTCAACTGGACGTCTTATGGCTAAAATGATCATGATGATGATGATGAAAGCGAATAAAGGGCTAATAGCTTGAGTAGTTCATCGTAGGGATAATCCTTTCCTTTTCAAGGCTTCTTTTAGTTATATTAATAGATTGTAGTCATAGTACATACTCGTATACATGGATGATTGTGTTATACTTTCATTATAATACTTAGTGGAATTACTGCTTTCAAAACGTGAATTAGAACTGGCCCCATAGCAGACATTTTCCTACGTCTAAAGGCCTTTTGAAATATATATTGGTTAGGGCTATTGGAGCGGGTACCACTTTCCATACATTTGTGCCCATCATCCTTTCATAGGACATTTTAAGGAACTAAAAATAAAACAAAAATATATTTTTAGTATATTCATTATTCATNGCGGCGGCGGCGGGCGGCGGCGGCGCGCGCCACGCCACCACGTGCTCGCGGCCCGTCGTCTGTGACGCGCACACGCCGAATAGGAGACCCGCTGCCCACAGGCTGCGCAGCGCTGACAGCACCTAAACACGATGTTTATCTTAGATCAGAGCCCCAATTACGGTAATTTTTAACGTCTCCAATCCAGACGCGCTTCATCGACGATTGGTCAAAACAGCTGACGTATGCTGTTTTTTTTTTTGTGTTTTGACCAATCGTATCGCAGAATCGATGAAGCGCGTCTAGATTGGAGACGGTAAAAATTACCGTAATCGGGGCTCAGTAGCCTTATTCACGTAACAAAACTTCAACGATAACAATCGTGAATACCGATTTAGAACTGCTTTTCAATGGGACGACTTCTGAACGTCGGCGAAATCTTGACTGTCAAAATACGTGAATTATGCCAGTGCTTCAGACGCAGCGTTTCATCCACGAAGACGCGCCCCACCGTTTGAGTGTTATCGGTACACGCTAAATTATCAATGAGTGCACACGCACACTACAATACTGACGCACACTACAATAATTTTTGGATTGCTCCAAAAATTGCGGGGCTTCGTGGATGAAACGAACTACGCGCGAACGAATCGTGCGTTGCTGGGCAGTTCTCGTACATTAAATGAAACCGTAGTACACGGTTACAGCATCAGTGCCTCATTAAAGAGGACCACCCAGGAACCGCGCGGTTATCACGCGTGTCATGTAGTAGAAATAACATTGAATAGCTCGACAATGTATAACTTTGACTGTTTAATAAATTATGTACACACGGCCACACTATCAACTATCGATTTTAGTTTTTGCTCTCGCTTTCATCAAATGGTGATTCTTTGCGATAGAACGAGACGACATGACCGGCAATGGGTAGTTAACACTGTTGCCAATGGTACAAGTGAATGTTTTGTTACCTGTCGTCCGAGCGGCGTGTCGGGCAGCAGCGTGTGCCGCGGGAAGCCCACGGCGTAGTAGGGCGCGCCCGGCGCCGGGTGCCGCGGGCCCTGCCGCCCCGACTGGAAGCTACAAACGCCAGAGTTAATGGCAGTGCATAATTATGAACTGAGCCAAATGGAAAGTTCCTAGTATCGGCCTAGAGCAGACCGTAATCCGCTATAGCGGGCCAAAAAACCTCTATAAAAACAACCAGAGGAGGAGAATGGTAGACTCCTCGAAGCCGGAGAGACTCGCATGGTACCATAGCTTGGGAGCCACGGACCAATGCCCAAGTTAGGACAGTAACTCGTGGCTTTGTTTCATTATCCGGAGGACACCGCCCCTCCCTCTGTAGACCCCATGAGTATACGAGAGGAAATGGGAAAGTATTGGCCAATGCTTGTGCGAAAGGCATTTTCCGAAATTAAAAAAAATGTAAAAAGAAATGCTCGAAACAACCACTACAAAATATATTTGTAAAGTCCGGTCGCCGAGCACGTAGAATTTCGTCCAATGACCCCAAGCTACCCATCCTTATCGCTCCCGCGTAATTATATTGCTGTCACGACTTTACGACGGGGGGCGCAGTGAGTGTGCGAGCGCTAGCTTGGGGGCATTTCGCGAAATTCTATGTTCTCGGCGACCGGACTTAGTAGTTGACAACCGAGGATGTTCTGAGATATCGATCTCACAACACACCTGTAAGTGATGAGTATGGAGGAGCAGTGCGGGTAGGGCGGCAGCGGCGTGGGCTGCAGGCTCCACGCCATGCTGCCGGGCGGCTGCGCGCCGCCCTCCCCGCCCGCGCCCGCGCCCGCGCCCGCCCCCTCCGCGCGACCGTACACGCGCCCGCACACCAGGCACTCGATGTATAGCGCCTCCTGCGGATAGACAAAAGACGTCAACATGATTATTTAAGCGCTAATGGAAAGCCTCGTGTCCACTTGAGCAGCCTCTTCTTGGGGCAGACTGAGGCTGCTCAAGTAAGCTCGAACTCCACTAGAGCACAGTCTTTCCCAAAGTGGGCGATAACGCCCCATTGTGGGCGCTGCAGGCTTAAAAGGGGGCCGTAAGAGACCCAGAAAAAAATCGGGACGTTGTGTAAAGGCTTGGGAGGCGTCATTTACTAGGTTTCTTAGACACCGACTGAGCACTCGACCCTCGACTACAAATGGGGGCGCTAAAAAGAATTTATTCTCAAAGTGGGCAGTAGACAAAATAAGTTTGGAAACCGCTGCACTAGAGACAGACTCGGGTCGAACAACCACCTCGACACGCGGTTGCTCAAATGGAGACTCGACTTCAAGACACGTTGCGAAGTAAATTTCGTCGCTGCAGACTGAGCTACATTTTGTCAGGACGAGGCAGCCGCTCGACCCAGTGGATTGCTTGCTGCTGCTTGGATGCTTCAGATGTTGAGGCAGTGTTCACCGGCTAATGCAGCATTTACCGGCACGAGTTACTGAGCTAGTAGTGTGAGACACTACTAGCACTAGTTCAGCATTTTTTTTATATTATGTTCTCGAAGTAAGGGGGGGGGGGACATGTAAGTGGCCGCGGAACGCCACGCAGGTCTAGTTAAACGTAGGAATCGGACACCCGCGCAAGTTTCTGGTCCTGTTATTTTATTTTGTCGTTCATAAATCACCATCATCATCATTTCAGCCATAGGACGTCCACTGCTGAACATAGGCCTCCTCCAATGCTTTCCATGTTAATCGATTGGTAGCGGCCTGCGTCCAGCGCTTCCCTGCTACCTTTATGATGTCGTCGGTCCACCTCGTGGTGTGTAGTACGAAATCTTGGTTCAAACTGAACAAAATTGGTTAGACTCACGCCAGCAGCTCGCAGGCGCTCCAGCTGCGTTGAGGCAGTGCAGCATGTGCTGGCACCGAGTCAGGGCCACAGCAGGGGCCCCCGTAGCGTAAAGAACGGGTACCCGCGCGTTTTAGCGAAGACCCCTAGGGCAACTAGACTTACTGACTTATGGTCCTATGTCCCCTAGATGGGGCAGAGGGCGTCCACAACAGTCCTCCATCTCGTTCGGTCTTGAGCTTCTCGCTTGATCGCGCTCCAGGTCTTGCCGATCTTCTTCGCCTCGTCCGCTACAGTGCGCCGCCAAGTTTGCGTTTTCCTTGGGGATTCCAATCCAGAGCCTGCTTAGGGATGTGATCGGGGTCCCTTCGGAGAGTGTGGCCAATCCAGTTCCACTTGCGGCGCTTAATCTGCTGGTCGATCGGAATTTCGTGGCAGCGTTCCAATAGCTCGACGTTGGAGATTTTCTCGGGCCACCTTTGTTATTATTTTGACTTTCATAAAACATTTAATTTCACTTACGCCAGCGGCCCGCAGGCGCTCCAGCTGCGTGTTGAGGCAGTGCAGGTGCAGCATGTGCTGGCAGCGAGTCAGGGCCACGGCGGGCGCGGGGCCCCGCAGCGCGCGCAGGCAGGCGGGGCACAGCGCGCCCCACTGCGGGCACGCCTCCGCGCGCACCCAGCCGCAAACGCTCGCCGCCGCGCTGTCCGAGCCTGGTGAACAATATCATACTTCAATCAAAATCAAAACGATCTTCATTTGTATGTTAGGGTCCTAACGAATATTAGTAAATAAAATGAAATAGCGGACTGTATAAAAATAGGTGCTGCTGTAATTCTCGCTAACCTAATTACAAGAAATTATTATAAGAGTACGCGGTGTTCGTGTGTCGACGGTGGTGTAGTGTCCCAAGGCGAGTGTACGAGCCGAGCGCTACCGATGATAACGCTGCCCACATCGTTATCCCAAGGGACCCATCCCGAGGTGACGTTAGTCATCGTACGCCGCCCGCACGTCTCCTCCCGCGCGTTGTTAGCTTCCCAATAGTTGGTATACAGTCCAAACTCATAATCGGTCAAAACCACTTTTGAAGTGGTTTTTTTGACTGATTAATAAAGATTCGACTCTTTCCACGCTGACGTCTTGCGTGGTTGAACTAACAAGTGCTTTCTGTCTCGTTTGCAGACATGTAGCAAGAGTGAAGTACCTAGCTAGTGTATTCGATATTTGACTTGAAGTGTAATGAGTTGCTTGTGTCCTGTGCTTAAATATTACATCAGTTTGTATGTGTTCGCCTCAATTTTCGTTGAGCGCACTATCAAAAATTTCCATAGCATATTTAATGACGATCGACTCACCGACAATAGTCCCGTCGGAGGTGGGCGGGGGCTCGGGCGCGCGCGGCGCGTCGAACACGTCGTCGCTGCCCGCGCTGCAGTTCAGCAGCTCGCCCACGGACCCTTGCTGTAGCCGACAAGATGCTCGGTTTTAAAAAGGACATTCAACAGATATAAAGATAAAGATATTTTTATTTATCAGACCATGTGTGACAATACGAACTATATTTTTGGTGTTAGTAGATTTTGTTAGTATCAACATGTCAAAAAATTTAATTAAATAAATACAATTTTATTTACAAACTTGTCAGTGTATTAATTTGAGATAGTCATTAGAAATTGGTAAACAGCAACGCCTCTGATTGATGCCACTAGAAAAAAAAAGCATTATGCGTGCTGCGTCACGCAGCACCGCTATTACAAGTGCCACTCACTTGTATTCCTGCCTTTACAAGTGAGTGGTCGGAGCGGTAGCGGCTGATTCGCGCGCTACAGACAGTGTACCTTCACTGTCTCGCGCGCTACAGACAGTGTACCCGCCGTGTCTCGCTACAGTCAGTGTACCCCACTGTCTCGCGCGCTACAGACAGTGTACCCCTCTGTCTCGTGTACCCCACTGTCTCGCGCGCTACAGATAGTGTACCCCTCTGTCTCGTGTACCCCACTGTCTCGCGCGCTACAGACAGTGTACCCGCCGTGTCTCGCTACAGTCAGTGTACCCCACTGTCTCGCGCGCTACAGACAGTGTACCCCACTGTCTCGCGCGCTACAGACAGTGTACCCGCCGTGTCTCGCTACAGACAGTGTACCCNCAGTTCATAACGTACGATTATCTTGTCAAACGCTTTGTTTAACTGACTTTATCGTACGTTATGAACTGTCAAATGATTACGATTACTTTACACAATAGGGATGTTTCCTGGGTCAAAAAGCAAGAGTTTTAATTAGTCCGTCAGTTAACTTATCAAAAAATACTCTACACGTATTTTTCACTTTTTCAAACTAATGAAAATTTAAACAGATAAAGCGCGCCAAAGTTCATAAGAAGAGGCCCGTGACGTCAATGCTTGCATAAAAGTGCCGCACTTTGTGACGTCGTGCGCAACTTCAACGCACCATAACTATGTAATTATTTGTTAGATTGACAAATAAAAATATATGTGTCCAATATTTTTTGATATTAAACATGACGGATTAAAACAATTTTTTTTAGGAAACTAGCCTATTCCACCTCAGATTTAGGATCAAATCGTGGGTCATATCGCGAAAAGGCTTATCTAACAAAATGATGATATTGAGTTAAACAAACCAGGTTATAAAAACCTCACAAAAGATCGTAACTGAATTCTGTGTCAGGAAGCCAGTATTGACAGTTAAAAAGGGCCCGAAATGCATTTTTCCATACTTAAAATTTTCTATAAATTTCGTTCCTGTAAAATTTACAAAAATCAGTTACGTCTTTTCGTGATTCGACCCACGAAATGTCACGTGGATATCACCTCTCCCATTGTCCTAGCTAGATAAAACAAACGCGAAATAGCAATGCATCTCGATACAAAAATATCAAGTATGTAATTTGTTGTATAAAATGGGGATGTTGCCTGGGTCAAAAAGCAAGAGTTTTTTTTAATTAGTCCGTCAGTTAACTTATCAAAAAATACTCTACACGTATTTTTCACTTTTTCAAACTAATGAAAATTTAAAGAGATAAAGCGCCCCAAAGTTCATAAGAAGAGGCCCGTGACGTCAACGCTTGCTTAAAAATGCCGCACGTTGTGACGTCGTGCGCAACTTCAACGCACCATAACTATGTAATTATTTGTTAGATTGACAAATAAAAATATACGTGTCCAATATTTTTTGATATTAAACATTACGGACTAAAAAAATTTTTTTAGGCTACTAGCCTATTGGTCTACGTAATCACGTGTCATGTTACATATTGGTCACATTACGTCGCGTCGCTTCATGTCGGGTTCCGTCACTCATCTCGGACAACGGGTCAGCCTCGGTACACTGAAGCAGTGACCCCACAACTGCAGTTGTTGGTAAATTACAGAGCATATTAATGCCAACTTACCGACAATAGTCCCGTCGGAGGTGGGCGGGGGCTCGGGCGCGCGCGGCGCGTCGAACACGTCGTCGCTGCCCGCGCTGCAGTTCAGCAGCTCGCCCACGGACCCTTGCTGTAGCCGACAAGATGCTCGGTTTAAAAAAAGACATAGTAATGTAATGTTTAAAGATATTAAAATAACGGGGATTCCATTTGCAGTGTATTACGATTTCATATACAAAATTTTAGATATTGATAAACACTGTTCTCCGTTTCTGGCGCCGTTTGTCAAATACATTGCACAATCCTAATATGCTGTCGGAGCTGGAGAAGTGCAGAGAGAGAAAGAGAGAGAGAGGGCTGTGCCGTTACACGAGCGCCATAAAAAAGACCTTGACTGCCGCTCGCACGCTACAAAAAATGGACGCGCTGCGCTGTCTCGCACGCTACAAATAGTGTACCCGCCGTGTCTCGCTACAGACAGTGTACCCGCCGTGTCTCGCTACAGACAGTGTACCCGCCGTGTCTCGCTACAGACAGTGTACCCGCCGTGTCTCGCTACAGTGTACCCGCCGGGTCTCGCTACAGACAGTGTACCCGCCGTGTCTCGCTACAGTGTACCTGCAGGCTGTCCTTGCTCTCGTGGCTCAGGTACGTGGACACGGTGTCGACGCTGTGGCGGCGCCCCGAGCGCGTGCTGCCGCACTCGGGCTCGCCGCACTGCTTCTGCTCCGCCGCGCTGTCTCGCGGCGCCTTGTGCTCCACGGGAGCGGCCGGGGGCTTGTTGCTGTTACCTGGAGATCATTTTGACGTAATGAAACAGAGCCAAAATCTGTAATCTTTCACTATTATATATTTCACTATTATATAGCACGACTAGATTGTCCGTTGTGTAGTAGCAGCCCCAAAACTGGGAGAGTCGCTTCTTAGGGACAAGGACTACAACAAAGAACTTAGCATTGCGCGCGGCAGAGTGCAACCTGCCACGGCAGACGCAGTTCCGCGTGCATCTCCCGCGATTCGGCCAGTTATAACGAGAAGGTTGGAATGGCCATGGGTGGTGGTGGGTTTTCCGTGAGGGAGAATTGACTAAGAGAAGGGACATGGATCAGAGAAATTTGTAGGGAGTCAAGCAAAGCGCGCGGGGATAGGAGCCCAGAGTAAGTACCCGCGCCCTCTCCCGAGATTCAGTTCGTACGCCGTGAGGCAGGAAGAACCCACCGCCATCCATGGTTCTTCCGAGGCAGGAAGAATCATGGGTGGTGGTGGGATTCGTCCGTGATCGGTCGGATAGACACTCACTGAATATGTTGAGGTTGTGCAAGATCTGCCGGGCCAGGCCGGGCTTGCGGTCGCGCGGCGAGGCGCTGCGGGCGCCGGCGCGGCGCGGCGCGGGCGCGGGCGGCGGCGCGGGCGCGGCCGGCATGGACTGCGCCGACTGCACCGACTGCACGCTCGAGCCCGTGTGTTGCTGCGGGATGCGCGGCCGCCGCGCTGCGAGACGGAATTTATTTTTTATTTTTTTTATTTTATTTATTTGGTTCACCAACAGTTAATTACACCAATACAATTGTATAAATCTTAAAAAGAATAAGTACATGTTCAATGTATTAACTTATTACAGGCAAACACAGCATGCATTTAACGTGAAGACTAATATTATACTATACTAGCTTTCCGCCCGCGGCTTCGCCCGCGTGGAATTTTGTCTGTCACAGAAAAACTTTATCGCGCGCGTCCCTGTTTCAAAAACCGGGATAAAAACTATCCTATGTTCTTTCCCGGGACTCAAACTATCTCTATGCCAAATTTCATCAAAATCGGTTGCGAGGTTTAAGCGGGAAAGCGTTACAGACAGACAGACAGACAGAGTTACTTTCGCATTTATAATATTAGTTGGGATTATAATGATAGGTATAGATCAATCCAACAGACATGTGCTAAGTTTTAACAGAAACAAAGTTGTACAGATTTTTTTTACATTAATTAAGCAAGTATCGAGAGAATTTTATTTTCATGAAGACGTGTTTTCCGCAGAGCTGGGACCGGACAAGTGACTAAAAATGGCTTTACGGTATGATGTCAGAGAGTCCGCGTGTAAATCAACCAGATCACTTATGCTGTTGACAAGCTTAAATTTAAGAGCGTTTTCACATTTATGCAATTTAGCAGCGCGACAAACGCGCGACAGACGCGCTGCCGAAAATTTCATACTATGTGACAGCGGATGCATGCCTTCACATTATAAAAACGCCGCTGCCGCGCTGCTGTCGCGCTTCTAACGCCCTAATGTGAAAGCGCTCTAAATATTACGGAAAACCCCTTAAAAAGGGTATGTTTTTTGACGTCATCTTACTTGAAAATTGTTTAAAATTAAGAACTTTATTTTCATACAATAATCAATTAAACTTAAGCCTGTCTATAGAGGTGGCGCGGCTATGATTCATAGTATGATATAAAAACAATGGTTTAATGTTACAAGGTAAAGACGCTATCACGTCACGTGTATTTATATTGGCACGTATCTACTCTTCAAATATTGTTTAAACCCCACCTACTTTAACTATATGTTAAATAGGTGGATCAGATAGGACTGATTTTTAAAGAATTAAAAATAAAACAAAAATATATTTTAGCATATTCATACGAACGCCACTATTAATAATTTTATTCGCTAACACATAGTATACCATATTTAATTCCATATAATTTGCTCTACAAGTTTCAATAAGTGCGGATACAAGTTGGTCGGCATGAACCTTCCCATCACGAAGTCGAGGTGATTGAACAGCGGGTACGGGAGCTCCTGGTAGTGGAACACGTTGGGCAGCGCTCGTAGCAGGCGCCGGCCGGCGCGCGGCGGCGCCAGGAAGTCACCGGCGCCCACCAGCAGCGCCACCCGCATCGACACATTCCTCAAGGCGAACTCCGGCGCCTCCGCCACTCCGTACGTCGCCAGGTTCCTCTCTGCCCCGTAGTCGTATTTGGCGAACTTGCCCGACCTCGACAGCTGAATCAGGTGATCCGACATCTTTCTGCTGCTCCCGTCGGGGTAGTGCCCGAAAAATGTGGGAGCGAACTCCGGCTCGAAGCCCCTCGGGTCGGGCCCGAACGCCTCGAACATCAGGCCCTCCACGCAGACCCCGTACCCGTCGGGCCCGAGGCACGTCTCGTTGAAGACGGGCCACTGCCGGTCGAACTCGTTCGTGGCGGCGGTGGCCACCTCGAACTCGGTGAACGCGTCGACGGCGCGCCGCGAGCCGACGAGCCCTCTCTCGTGTCCGAGGAAGGCCACCGGCCCGAGCGATATCAGCGCCTCGATTTTCTCGTTGTACTCGGGCTTCTCCGCCGCCATCGCGAAGAAATTGGCCGCGCCGGTCGAGTGAGCGATCGCGAGCAGCCGCTTCTGCCGGGTTTCTCTCAGGATATAATCGATAGTCGCCGGCAAGTCGTGGACCCCCTGCTCGTAGAAGGAGTAGTCGTAGAAGCGGTCCTTCTGCAGCTTCGGGTCGAGGGCGACGTGGCGGCGGGACTCGAGCGCGCCGCGGAAGTTGACGGCCCACACGTCGCAGCCGCGGCGCGCCAGCGCGAGCGCCGGCGACAGGCGGCCGCGCAGCAGCCAGCTGTAGGCCGAGAAGGTGTTCCCGTGCGCCAGCAGCGCGGGCCGCCGCGGGTCGCCCGGGATGTGGTACAGCGCCAGGATGTACCCGTCCTCGGTGATCACGTCTCGCTCCTCGGCGTCCGGGAAGCCGTACTTGGCGGCGAGGCCGATCCAATCCAATCTTCCATCCTCGCTCAGCAGAGCGGAGCGCGGCAGGAGCTCGTGCAGAAACGATCGACCGCTGTTACAGCAAAATAATAACACCACAGCGGACGTGAGCGCTGAACTGAACTTCATTGTTAATAAGAGACAGACGCAGCGGCACGTTTTTGATGTTGTGCGTCATTCACGTGAATTTATGGATTTTATACCAAGTGCGACTCACAGATGTTACAGATATATTTGCTATTTATGTCAAATGTTGAAATGCCTATTTTCGTTCAATGTAAAGAAAGAACTCTATTTTTAGATCTAGGTATTGCGATACGACTATCTCTCCGTAACATTTTTTTTTCTGTTCATTTTTATCATGACCTAAGTTTCAAAAAATTTACAAAACGATCCGCTTGTGATTTTTTTTTCGTTGTAATTTAACACATTGCCTACAACAATATAAATTGTAAATGTCTTAAAATGCTAGCAGAACAACAGCTGAACAAATATAAGTGAGAAGCGGAACATGCGGTTCGTACAGCGGTATAAATCGCTGATAAACAAGACATCGCCGAAATCTTGGACGTCTCAAACGAAATAAAAAGTAACTAAATCAAAATTAAATAGGTCTGAAACGTAACGCCCGTTTTATAATATTTCAATTCACTCGGGCAATAAATAAGATCGCACGCAGCAACGATCGAGTAAACTTCAGGCAAGGAGCGCCAACGCCGGGGGCGCCGCAGCGCGCCGCATGCGCGCCGTTTCCCCGGATTTGTCCTAGTTTAAAGGGCGCGCGGGCGGAGTTTCATTTGTTGTCCGGGTATAAAAAAAAAGTTTTATCTCAATGCCGAGCGATGTGACTTTAGTTTTATAAAAACCTGTTGACATATCCTGGGCTCTAAAATCCGGGGTTTTCACACATCTCGTCCTGTAGGCCTAGGATGCGCGCCGCAATAAGCGTTTATCGCGCCATTTTATCATACATTTTTCGTCCAAAATCTTCGATAAGATTTTATCACGGCGCGCATCCTAGCCCGGCAGCAGAGTAAATACAAATGAGTAGGTCATCTTCATAGAAACGTTGTATGTGAGCGCGCCAATATACGTATGCGGCGCGCACGCAAACACTGACAAAATTCGGCGCAACCACGACTGGTTCCCTGTTAATCCACGCTAAATTTTGTCAGTGTGTGCGAGCGCGCCGCATACGTGTTGGCGCGCTCACATACAAACCGCGCCCGTGCGTTTCTATGAAGATGACCTACTCATTTGCATTTACTCTGCTTCAGGCAAGGAGTGCCAACGCCGGGGGCGCCGCAGCGCGCCGTCGATTTGCCCTAGTTTAAAGGGCGTCCGGGGAGCGTCCGGGCTGAGTTTCATTTGTTGTCCGGGAATAAAAAAATAAAATAAAAAGGCCAATGCCTGGGCTCTAAAATCCGGGGTTTTCACACATCTCGTCCTGTAGGCCTAGGATGCGCGCCGCGGTAAGCGTTTATCACTTATATACATTTTTCGTCTAAAATCATCGATAAGATTTTATCACGGCGCGCATCCTAGCCCGGCAGGTTGCCATATGTTAAGGCTGGTTTTAGTATCGTGCTGATGCACGCTGTCCGTCGTGTCATGTCGTGACCGATGTATGAAGCGTCGGCACCGAGCGGTCAGCGTCACTCAAGAACGTTTCCTTCAATTACATACATATTGATCTGTCAGCGCTGACGATCAGCGAGCGGTCAGCGTGGTTCTAAAACCCGCCTAAGGCCCTTTTCACACGTCCCGGTTGCCGGCTAATGGGCATGCCGGATTAATTACGCCAGAACATGTGAAAGCTACGTACCATGCCCATACACTTCACCACCGGGTACCCGGCGCCAGTTAGCCGGCAACCGGGACGTGTGAAAAGGGCGTAAAGGTGACCGTAGACTCACCGGGCTCCTGCGGCGCCTGGCGCGTGAGCGGGTAGGGCGGCTGCGGCGCGCGCCGGAGCAGGCGCACGTGGCCGCCGGCGCGCGCCGTCATGCGCCAGGTGACTGTAGACTCACCGGGCTCCTGCGGCGCCTGGCGCGTGAGCGGGTAGGGCGGCTGCGGCGCGCGCCGGAGCAGGCGCACGTGGCCGCCGGCGCGCGCCGTCATGCGCCAGGTGACTGTAGACTCACCGGGCTCCTGCGGCGCCTGGCGCGTGAGCGGGTAGGGCGGCTGCGGCGCGCGCCGGAGCAGGCGCACGTGGCCGCCGGCGCGCGCCGTCATGCGCCAGGTGACTGTAGACTCACCGGGCTCCTGCGGCGCCTGGCGCGTGAGCGGGTAGGGCGGCTGCGGCGCGCGCCGGAGCAGGCGCACGTGGCCGCCGGCGCGCGCCGTCATGCGCCAGGTGACTGTAGACTCACCGGGCTCCTGCGGCGCCTGGCGCGTGAGCGGGTAGGGCGGCTGCGGCGCGCGCCGGAGCAGGCGCACGTGGCCGCCGGCGCGCGCCGTCATGCGCCAGGTGACTGTAGACTCACCGGGCTCCTGCGGGAAATAAAGAATATATGTGCCAAACTCAAAAACATTAAAGATAACCTTGTAAAATTAAGTTATGCTAAAAGAACTAAAGATAATTTACAACGAAAATTAAATGAGGCCAGTCAATTACGCAATGATTTTGACGAATGTATGTTAGTAATTTTAGATGAAATTAAGCTAAGTAACATAAAAGGTAAAGTTCTCGAAGAAGTACAATCATATTGCGATTTATTTAAAGAGATTTATGAACAAATAGAACATTTTTGTGCCCAAGCTGAGTGCACTGTCGTAAATACTGAAAATACTGCGACACAGAGCACCATGGCTACTTTTGATTTTAAAACTGCGGTATCATTACTGCCGGTTATGACTGGTGAGGAGGCTGTCACGAAATCCTTGATCGACGCCATAGAGCTATATGGTCCCACACTCGAAAGTGCAGGTAAGAAAATGTTAATTAATTTTGTGTTAAAAACACGTCTGAATGAAAGTGCTAAATTACGCTTATCAGAGTCGTACGATAACTATGAAACTTTAATAAACGATATGCGAGACCACTTGCTTACCAAGAAATCAAGCACTTCCATTCATAACGAGTTATTAATGATGCGACAAAACGGAATGTCAATTGATAAGTACGGTAGTAAAATAGAGGAATTGTTTGTCAATTTGACAATATCACAATCCGACGGTAATCAAGCGGCACACAAAATATTGCGACCTTTAAATGAAAAACTGGCGATAAAGAGTTTTACCGACGGCTTGCGTAACCGTCAACTAAGTACCATTTTATCAGCCAGAAATTATTCTTCCTTAAAAGACACAATACGTGCGGCGAAAGATGAAGAAGCTTCGTGCAGTAGTCAAAATTCAGAGGCCACAGTATATTTTGGTCAAAGAGGACGATCAAACTATCATAGGAATCACAGAGGTAACAGAGGTAGTTATAGGGGTAACTTTAGGGGTTACTCAAGAGGTTATGGCAATACTTCGTTTTCACGGGGTAACCAAGGAAATGGTTTTGCCAACCAATCACGAAGTCGAGGTATAGAACAGCCACGCGGAAATTATGGCTATAGGCAAAATAGGCCTTTCCGCGGCGGTAGACAAAATAGGTCTTTTTATCGCGGTCATAGTGTTCATTATATGAATAACGACAACAATAATTTAGTCGATAACACCGTTCAAACTTCGACATTAAACCAGGGTTCAGAAATAGAAACTAATACATTACAACAGTTTTTTCGATAATAATTTCATATTATCATGTGATTATAGTAGTTCGGTGGTATTGTTATTCGGAGATGCCAAATATAGCTTTCTAGTAGATTCGGGCGCATCGATGTCAGCGCTGAAATACGAAACTGCATTGAAATGGAATCTTCCAATACATAATGAATGCATACACATTAATGGTATCGGGGGCAATGTACGATCAATCGGACATGTGTCTGTCACACTTAACTTAAATAGAAAAGAATTTGAACACAAGTTCTATGTTATCGATTATCTACCTTGTGTACAGTTTGGAATTATTGGTCGAGATTTTTTAAGTAAATACCAAGCTGTTTTGGACTTTGAAAATAATACACTTAAATTAAATAATTTGAATAATGAAATTATTACAGTACCAATGATTCACGGATNAAATCCTTGATTGACGCCATAGAGCTATATGGCCCCACACTCGAAAGTGCAGGTAAGAAAATGTTAATTAATTTTGTGTTAAAAACACGTCTGAATGAAAGTGCTAAATTACGCTTATCAGAGTCGTACGATAACTATGAAACTTTAATAAACGATATGCGAGACCACTTGCTTACCAAGAAATCAAGCACTTCCATTCATAACGAGTTATTAATGATGCGACAAAACGGAATGTCAATTGATAAGTACGGTAGTAAAATAGAGGAGTTGTTTGTCAATTTGACAATATCACAATCCGACGGTAATCAAGCGGCACACAAAATATTGCGACCTTTAAATGAAAAACTGGCGATAATAACGTACAATGATAACGTACAACCAGAGTAAATACAAATGAGTAGGTCATCTTCATAGAAACGCCCGAGCGCGGTTTGTATGTGAGCGCGCCAATACGGAAGCGGCATGCACACACTGACAAAATTTAGCGTTGATTAGCGGTGAGTTGCCCCGAATTTTGTCAGTGTGTGAGTGCACGCGCGCTCACATACAAACCGCGCTCGGTGCGTTTCTATGAAGTTGATTTACTCTCTACTACTCATACATACTACTACTACGACTCATTTGTATTTACTCTGGTATAACGTCGTTGACGTTTACGTTTAGAAGTCGTCCTATTGAAAAACATTCTTAAATCCGTATTCACGTGTCATTTCAATAGAAAACTCGATAGGATTGCAATTCAGCGATTTGTAATTTTTAACGTTTGGGCTTCAAAATGGGCAATAGGTGAATACCACAGAGGCACGATCGAATACGCATAAAAATGAAACCGAAACATAATCGGGCAATTAGTACGTGAATACGAAAAGTGACACCAGCGATCAAATCGCTTGCAAGTCGTTGAAGTTTGATACGTGAATTAGGCCACAGATAAATCAGTAGGCCTAAGATGCGCGCCGTGATAACATTTATCAACGTCAAAATGTATGGGCAAAATCGATAAAATGGCGTGATAGCCGCTTATCGCGGCGCGCATCTTGGACCTACAGGTCTGTGATGTAGTTTCTCCGAGCACCAGACGGTCGCAGTACCTCCATGGGCAGCGGCTCGTAGTTGAGCTCGGCGGCGTGCGGCGCGGCGGTGAAGCGCGCCCACTCCCAGCGCACGCCGCGGCCGGCCGGCGAGCCCACGCCGTAGCACGAGCGCCGCACCAGGCACTCCGCCGACCCGCCCTCTGTCGACACCGAACCGCTCGGTGAGGCTAAGAACTCATGGCGCGATTATCACGGGACCGATTATTTGTGCGGTTACGCAGTCGCCGATCATCGACCGCAAACGTGGCGGGCGATAATCGCAACTATCGCAAGACGGGCAGTTAAGTCACTGGTACAAAATGGTCGCCCGCCAATCGATCGCAGAGCGCGCGGGCGAAAACCGCAAGGGCTGCGGTTACCGCGGCCCGCGCGATTCTACTAGTTGCCCGCCAGTGCAGCGGGACCCCCATACAACCGCGCACACTGCGGGCGCAAACCGCGTCGTGAGTTGTGCATTCATTTTTACATAAGTATCTATGTAAAAAGTGAAAAAGTGCTTTCTAAAAGCCTATTTGCAAAAATAAATGAATTTTATGAATTTTTATGAATTTTATCTAACATTCTATAGAAGCCGCGGGCCCGCAACCGCCGCGGGCGCGGGTAAAAATCGCGCCGTGAGTTCTTAGCCTGAATGGAAATGCAGAGGCGGCCACGAGCACTCTTGTCGCCAACTATGCGACACTCAGAAAATATTCTCAATGACACCAAATCTATTTGAAGAGTTGCTCTTGCAACTAGACAAATTATATTACATTGTTAGGTACACATTTCACTATAGGGGTGAAGCATATAACTGAGTCAATGAGGGCTATCGTTTTTATACTTAACAGTTGGCACCCCTGGCGATTGACAGGACCTTACTCTACAGTGGCGCCATCTTGATGAGTGCAAATGCGATAGTCCTCCTACCACTTTAGCGCTCACCAGTTGGTGCCACTGTCTTCGCTACTAGCAAGTGACAGGACCTTACTCTACAGTGGCGCTAACTGGTGAGCGCTAAAACGATAGCCCTCATTGAGTCAGTGCCTGAGGTATGGGATGGGAGTGACACTGACATATGATGTGACGGAGCATTCAAGACTGAAGCACGTCTGAAGTGTCGCTGATGTTTGATGTCACTAAAACACCCTCCCGTGCCGCCCCCACACCTCAGGCGCTGACTTGCTCAGTTATGCTCTAAACCAGTGTTTCTTAACCTGTGGTCTGCAGACCCCGGGGGCTCAATTACTAGAAATCAATCATTCAAAACAAAAATTACATTCTTCATTTTGATTAGATAAAAACCAATTTGATTTGTGTAAACATAGTTTTTAGTGTTCAGTACCCTGATAACCTTGCAAAAAGAAATGCTGTGTATGCCTGTAACTGTTATTGAGGTCATATGCACACCATGTCTCAACTAAGTTAAAAAAATATACTGTAATGTTACTATTTGGTGTTCCTAATAAATAAATCAATGCTTCCATACTGATTGATAGATTACAATAAATTGATTAATGTTATATGTATCTAATGTATCATAATCATTCACTGCATCTTGTGTAAAAAGAAAACTAGATATTTTAGATTGTCTGGAGCACTGCATATCTGCATCCAAATGAATCCAATATTTAATGTGCCTTGTTTGTTTAGTGTTAATTAGTAGTAAAGTTCTCTTTATGATTTCTCAAAACTCATGTTTACTCATTACCAGTCACCAATTATTACATCAATAAATTATTTTACTGTTAGACATTGCACAAATCAATTTCAACATTTACATTTTTGTAGGTATTAAACTAACCTGGAGTATCCAAACATTGTGTAAGTGTTCTCAAATTGACATAGTGCCCTCTGAGCGCTGGATCGGCATCTGCTAATACAACCCTCGTCAGCTTCTTAGCGTGGGCTCGCTCCAGGGTGCGCGTCACTGCAGGCGTGTGTGGCAGCCACTGGCCGCCACTCTGCCACTCCCACACCACCACACAGTGGACCGACGACATCACCGCTGTTGGTACATCTTTAGAAAAAAATAAAGATGAAATAACCAGTCACATTTCAGTTTCAACTAAATAATGAAACATAACATACATTTATAGTTCATATTGGAAAATATGATGTACTACTAGTGTTCAGATTGTATTATAATACCCTTAGTCAGATAATAGTGGCTAAAACCAACAATAACTTCACTACACAAGTGTATGCAAACTGATGCAGAACAGTGGTTCAATGTAAACTGATAGTTAAATACACAAGGAGAATATCAGAATATAGAATCAATTGTTGACACAACGTTCCAATAACATCGGTTCAAGCTTCAGTTTACGTTCAGATAGCCTATTGGACAATTAAAAATGAGTGCACCTAATTAATGTGTAAACAACGGCAACTTACTTGGTCCTCTGATAACTTCCAACACGTTTACTCAATTAACAATTTATACAAATTAACATCAATTTACATTTCTTCAGAAACTTATCTCCAAAGACTCCAAACAAGAATGTAAATGAATCGGTCGGTATCATAGAATGTCAAGTGAGACTTGTAACTTACAAACGCACAAACTATAATTGACACCATAATTCAAAAAATAAATATAAATTTTAGGATGTATTAAAGCAAAACCTGTGCAGCTGTGGTTAAGACATATTGTTAATAGTTTAAAACGTAGTTTTAAGAAATAAATTGTTGACTTTTTAATGCTTTTTTGACAGTTCAGCTAACTGCAACAAGTAAGCCATAGAGAAGTATAAGCAAGATAATGCAATCAACACGTTCCGTTACAAGTAGGTACTTGTCTATACTCACTTAGGCACAATCACAGAGCACGTAATGGCAAAATATTTTTGGAATTAGGTAAATCCCAACTAATATTATAAATGCGAAAGTAACTCTGTCTGTCTGTCTGTCTGTCTGTCTGTTACGCTTTCCCGCTTAAACCTCGCAACCGATTTTGATGAAATTTGGCATAGAGATAGTTTGAGTCCCGGGAAAGAACATAGGATAGTTTTTATCCCGGTTTTTGAAACAGGGACGCGCGCGATAAAGTTTTTCTGTGACAGACAAAATTCCACGCGGGCGAAGCCGCGGGCGGAAAGCTAGTAATAATTAAATATGAATAAATTTGAAACCATTTAGTCAAAACCATAAAAGGGAAATTTATTTTTATACACGTAAGAGTCTATCATATAAAAATTATCATTTGTTAAATTAATTAACGCGTGTGGCTGGCNTAGACTCACCGGGCTCCTGCGGCGCCTGGCGCGTGAGCGGGTAGGGCGGCTGCGGCGCGCGCCGGAGCAGGCGCACGTGGCCGCCGGCGCGCGCCGTCATGCGCCAGGTGACTGTAGACTCACCGGGCTCCTGCGGCGCCTGGCGCGTGAGCGGGTAGGGCGGCTGCGGCGCGCGCCGGAGCAGGCGCACGTGGCCGCCGGCGCGCGCCGTCATGCGCCAGGTGACTGTAGACTCACCGGGCTCCTGCGGCGCCTGGCGCGTGAGCGGGTAGGGCGGCTGCGGCGCGCGCCGGAGCAGGCGCACGTGGCCGCCGGCGCGCGCCGTCATGCGCCAGGTGACTGTAGACTCACCGGGCTCCTGCGGCGCCTGGCGCGTGAGCGGGTAGGGCGGCTGCGGCGCGCGCCGGAGCAGGCGCACGTGGCCGCCGGCGCGCGCCGTCATGCGCCAGGTGACTGTAGACTCACCGGGCTCCTGCGGCGCCTGGCGCGTGAGCGGGTAGGGCGGCTGCGGCGCGCGCCGGAGCAGGCGCACGTGGCCGCCGGCGCGCGCCGTCATGCGCCAGGTGACTGTAGACTCACCGGGCTCCTGCGGCGCCTGGCGCGTGAGCGGGTAGGGCGGCTGCGGCGCGCGCCGGAGCAGGCGCACGTGGCCGCCGGCGCGCGCCGTCATGCGCCAGGTGACTGTAGACTCACCGGGCTCCTGCGGCGCCTGGCGCGTGAGCGGGTAGGGCGGCTGCGGCGCGCGCCGGAGCAGGCGCACGTGGCCGCCGGCGCGCGCCGTCATGCGCCAGGTGACTGTAGACTCACCGGGCTCCTGCGGCGCCTGGCGCGTGAGCGGGTAGGGCGGCTGCGGCGCGCGCCGGAGCAGGCGCACGTGGCCGCCGGCGCGCGCCGTCATGCGCCAGGTGACTGTAGACTCACCGGGCTCCTGCGGCGCCTGGCGCGTGAGCGGGTAGGGCGGCTGCGGCGCGCGCCGGAGCAGGCGCACGTGGCCGCCGGCGCGCGCCGTCATGCGCCAGGTGACTGTAGACTCACCGGGCTCCTGCGGCGCCTGGCGCGTGAGCGGGTAGGGCGGCTGCGGCGCGCGCCGGAGCAGGCGCACGTGGCCGCCGGCGCGCGCCGTCATGCGCCAGGTGACTGTAGACTCACCGGGCTCCTGCGGCGCCTGGCGCGTGAGCGGGTAGGGCGGCTGCGGCGCGCGCCGGAGCAGGCGCACGTGGCCGCCGGCGCGCGCCGTCATGCGCCAGGTGACTGTAGACTCACCGGGCTCCTGCGGCGCCTGGCGCGTGAGCGGGTAGGGCGGCTGCGGCGCGCGCCGGAGCAGGCGCACGTGGCCGCCGGCGCGCGCCGTCATGCGCCAGGTGACTGTAGACTCACCGGGCTCCTGCGGCGCCTGGCGCGTGAGCGGGTAGGGCGGCTGCGGCGCGCGCCGGAGCAGGCGCACGTGGCCGCCGGCGCGCGCCGTCATGCGCCAGGTGACTGTAGACTCACCGGGCTCCTGCGGCGCCTGGCGCGTGAGCGGGTAGGGCGGCTGCGGCGCGCGCCGGAGCAGGCGCACGTGGCCGCCGGCGCGCGCCGTCATGCGCCAGGTGACTGTAGACTCACCGGGCTCCTGCGGCGCCTGGCGCGTGAGCGGGTAGGGCGGCTGCGGCGCGCGCCGGAGCAGGCGCACGTGGCCGCCGGCGCGCGCCGTCATGCGCCAGGTGACTGTAGACTCACCGGGCTCCTGCGGCGCCTGGCGCGTGAGCGGGTAGGGCGGCTGCGGCGCGCGCCGGAGCAGGCGCACGTGGCCGCCGGCGCGCGCCGTCATGCGCCAGGTGACTGTAGACTCACCGGGCTCCTGCGGCGCCTGGCGCGTGAGCGGGTAGGGCGGCTGCGGCGCGCGCCGGAGCAGGCGCACGTGGCCGCCGGCGCGCGCCGTCATGCGCCAGGTGACTGTAGACTCACCGGGCTCCTGCGGCGCCTGGCGCGTGAGCGGGTAGGGCGGCTGCGGCGCGCGCCGGAGCAGGCGCACGTGGCCGCCGGCGCGCGCCGTCATGCGCCAGGTGACTGTAGACTCACCGGGCTCCTGCGGCGCCTGGCGCGTGAGCGGGTAGGGCGGCTGCGGCGCGCGCCGGAGCAGGCGCACGTGGCCGCCGGCGCGCGCCGTCATGCGCCAGGTGACTGTAGACTCACCGGGCTCCTGCGGCGCCTGGCGCGNGAAGAATTTACAAGGAGATTTAAATCAGAAGATAGCAATACTACAGTTCACACTAAAAAGAGAGGTAGGGCCGCAGAGAGCGAGATAGATATAAGTAGGTATTTGACTCAAGTTTATGTTCCAACTCTGCCCTCCATTTTTATCTTTAGCTTCATGGTTGCGAGTTGCGAGGTAGGTAGGTGACACACTCGCTAACAATTAATATCGATATTGATTGAAATTATTATTTCGAATAATTATACTAGCTGTGCCCGCGACTTAGTACGCGTGAAAAAAGTTTGCTTAATATTTTCTGTTTTCAAAACATTTTTGGGTATTTCGCCGGGTTCTATATTGGCTCACATAAAATTCTAAATCCTATTCTTTGTCTTACTACCGATTTGTGTTCATAATAATCTCTCTTCATAATTTTATTTTTCATACTTTTTTTTTTCATACATTTTTATTACTACCATCGGAGCTCATAACAGTTATTAATCATAATTTTTTTATCAATACTGTTACTACCAAGAACCATTTCAAATACATAATTTTTATTTTCAGATATTTTTTCTTCATAACATTCATTGATCATATTATTTTAATTAATAATGTTGTTACTTAGAACATGCTTCAACTCATAATGTTGTTGTTCAGAATAATTTACTTTATAACAGACATACTCGTATCTTTAAAAAAATCATATATAATTTAATAGAGTAGATAAGCATGCAGAGCATGCAGCATGAAAGCAAGCATGCAGCATGCATTGGTATCTCCTCGTCTCCGGCGCTGCGGGATGTGCAGCCCTTCCGCCCTTGCGTAACGAGGCTCAGGCACCCATGCNTTACGAAATTTTATTTGATTTTCGATACTAAAGTCCCTTTTAAAAACAAACCATTGTTGAACTAGTGGCAATTTTTGTACAGGTATAGTTAACATTTGCGCCGTATCGTGATCAGATAGTTGCAATGAAAGTACTTCTCCCACCCCGTTTTTAATATTACTTATTATATGATCAATACAATTTCCTTTTCTTGTTGGTTGATTTATGTGAAGAGTTAAATCGAATTGTTTTGCAATATCTGTCAGATGGCGGGATGCTTTTGAGCATACAAGAGTATTTATATTAAAGTCACCAGTAATTATTATTTTTTTATTTTTATGTTTTTTCTTTAGCAGCTCGTATATTACTGCTTCAAGTTTAGTGAGGAAAGTGTTTGCATATTTATTGTGTGAAGTATATATGCAGACTATAATCAATTTGTGTGCTAAAACTTCTACACCACAGCATTCAAATATGTTTGGCAGTACATATTTATTGAAGCAGGTAAGCTCTTTATAGAGGAGTCCCCGCCTCAACATTATACATGTACCACCACGCTTTGTTTCTCTACAATAATGGGCAACTAGTTCATAATTTTTTAGAATGAAGTTCTTTTCCTGTCCCTTTTTTATAAATGTCTCTGAGAAACATAGTGCATCTGGTTTACTTTGTTTGCCTTCTAGTTCAGAAATGATTATTTGTAATTCATCCTTTTTTGAGATAATACCTGCNATTTGGTTTCGATGGAGGCATTATAATCGTAACTCTGAAAATGAATCGATTACTTATATCAAAATAGCTAAGTAATTAAATTGAAAAATCACGATAAAAACTAAATGGCCAAAAGTGGGGTTCTTCGTGCACCACTTTTGGCCATTCATGTGGCCAAAGATGGGAAAATTCATTCATTCTGGCTCCATTAGTGGCCACCTCTCATAAACCCCTTAATAAACAAATAGCGATAAAATATCATTAGTACCACTTAGACAGTGTATTCTTTATTAAGGTTTAACATAAACATTTAAAAAAATAAGAAGGATTTAGAAAATAATGATTGTTTACTCACCCGCTCGCCTTAGCCTTTTTGCTAAGACTTGAAACAATTAACGCTTCTCAAAAAATAATGACTTGTTGGATTGAAGTGAAGCTTGACACATCAAAGCTGTTAACGCTATCAGTGTTGCTAATATTAGATATTTTTATTCCCGTAAACCATAGAGTAATATATTAGTCTTTGCCTTAGTTATAACGATTTGAAGTTCTAAATGGCCACAAAGGGGTCGGTGGCCACAACCGGGTCACTTGCCCTATCTCTTTCTATTTTAGTTTTATTGACTAAGTAGATTGATCTTCAAATAAAAGTAATGCTTATTAAGAACATTGTTTACTTTTTTAGTCAAATTAAAAAATTAAAATATCTTTATTCGTATAGACTAATTAAATTAGTACTTGCAAGACACTTTATGGTTGAATCTACGTATATACTTTAACTTACTGGATGACCTGATCAGCAACAGCTTGGATGGTCGCCGAGATGTTATTATTATCTTCATGGATGAATAAAAAATAGGACATCCATTCATCATAACCAATAGATTGTTTTGGATTTATTTATCCTCAAAATGTGATTGGCAGACCTGAAACAAAAATCAGTCAGTTCAGTCCTAAAGAAATTGCAGCAAACTTTATAGCAATTTGGAAGGTTGTTTAATAACCTGAAATCACTTGCCTTTCTTTGACGAAGTTGCTCCTTTGTCATAGATCCTGATAAAGGATTTGCAGGCAGGAAGTACTGCATCTGTCTCATCTGTGTACTGCATCCTTAGAGCCTGCAATGCTTCATCACGTGCCAGGGAAAAAACCCTGGACTTGGTGGACGAGCAACTGGTCACGATGCATTTGGTGATAATGTGAAATGTATAAAATGACCATTATGAGCAATGAAAATTGCTATTTTGTTTGCATTTATTTCCAAATATTTCGGAATCAAGATTTTTTCAACTCGGAATTTCGAAAAGAATTGAGTGAATGATTAATTGATTGAATGAATGAGCGAGCGAATTCAGCGAATGAATGATTTTTTTTTTTTTGGTTCCATTCGTTCCTTCTGGAACAGGCTAAGGTCAAAGACACAGATATGGATAGATGCAGCATGTGTCAAAAATTGTATGAAGCCGAGCGTGCCACTTTTTATACGTCATTAGTGNCTGTGATCACCGCCAGCCATTTTGATTGGTGTCAAAGATTTGGAGAAGTGTGGATTTGGTATATATTCACTTGTTTCAATAATAATCAAAGCCCGTGTTTCACTCCAGCATGGTTTTTAACAATAAATGTAAGTACTATAATATGAATAACTTGTTTATGCGTCGTGTCTTTTCTATGAATCATCCGTACTTACCAAAAACACCATTGTTATTGATTTTCTACCGGCACAGCCAACTGTTCCTCATATTTAACACTATTCGACTTTCGCAGATAATACGCGCCACTCCGGACGCTACAACACCGCGGGACAGTTCGTTTCAGCTGGTGTCGTAAGTATCAGTCGATATTGTTTATTTATTGAACGTAAAATTTCCATGTCCTCTTCCATATTACTATTTACATACATAAGTAAAACTTGATTATATATCGCAGCAGAATGCCGAGCCCCAAGCGCCCTGGTACTGGCTATGCAAAGTCACCAGTTACCCTCTGACTGGCACTGACACCTAATCATCTTGCCAGCATTGTGTGAAACTGGAGCATGACATTTACATTCTCCCCACTTTCTTGCAATGTTTGGCTCCCACCAGTGGCCTTGCTCATCACGGTGTTTCTCAAAATTGTTACATTAATGCCTGTGGTGAGACATTTTAAGATGTGGGTATAAGCCTCTCGGAAGGTAGCGGTGTATGTCGAGAATGCAATATGATCATGAGAAAAATATCTCGTGGGCATGTAGGGTTCTCTAAACTTAAGTAGACAGTAAGCTGCTCCGGATTCCTGGCATGTAAGAACCCTCTAAAATTGTAACAAAGAAATTACTTTCTGTAAATTAATGACCTAAAAAGAGATCTAAACATATAAAAACTACTCTAACACCAGCAATGACTGGTTTCTAATGCAGTTTAATGCATACAGCAAATGGTGCAATTTTATTGGGTGAGAACATGATAGGAATATGGATAGAGCTGGGCAATGTGATACCACCTTCACTGCGTGACAGATGATGAATGAGTCCAGTACAGTATCCTTGTTACACATAGTCGCAGTTTGGTTGTAAATATCCTATCCTCGCGTGATCGATATGTAAGAGTGAGAGGTGAGACACATGGCCCACACAGCTGAACCATACCAGCTGGCCGGGCGCCCTGCAGCCGGAGCATGAGCGGTCCCCACAAGTTGGTGAGTCTTAGAGTATATTGGATTAAAACGTCATGAGTTTCTTTAAGAAATCTGAATTTGCCATTTCATTTCTCATTTTATAAACTTAAATTAGATACATATTCTATAATTTTGAGCTAAGTTTATGATTAGCATTTCACCACATCTGTAATAATTAGCGATCATTAACACTAATGACTTCTTAATGCATCGTCAGTTAAGGCTAAGTCAGATTTGTGGAAAGCGCTTATCACTGTCCTCATAAATTCAGTTGAGGAAACTAGTGTTTTGGTATTGACGATTGTTGTGACTGCCAGAACCAGCAGCTGACGCCGCCGCCGCAGCATCCGCAGCAGCCGCAGCATCCGCAGCAGCCGCAGCAGCCGCCGCTGCGCCAGCCACACCAGGCCGCGCCCGGCGCCAAGCCGTCCATCGCGCAACAAGCCATTGTGGTTCGTAGCACGCCTTTGTTAAAAAAATACATAGCCTACCAGTGTTGCCACTGGTGTAACCCAAAATTGCTGAGTCATAATTACGACCAGTGGGCTGAGTGTGAGTTTACTTACATCATCGTTTAAAAAATATATGAAAATTTTAGTTTTTGAACGTTTCCCGCTAGGGGCGCTATACAATCGGTCATACATTTAATGTCATTTTTTGACGCGCTCGGTATAAACTCACACTAGGCCCTCAGGTCGAGTTAACTGCGCACCTTGTGACCGTAACGTCACATTGACGCTCTAGTACGAACGGACCGAACGCGGGGAGATGTGTGGGTGAGTGCGAGGGAGAGTCGCATTCCATCGGGGTTTGCAGTTAACTCGACCGGGTTGTAGTGTCTTTTAGCTGTTAATGTTTATTAATGTAATATTGGCGTAATTTATACAGAAACCAGACGTGGAAATGAAGGTAGAGGGTAGCGTGGAGGGCTCCGAGGACGGCGCGGCGCGCCCGCACTGGATGAAGGCCAAGCTGCCGGGAGGTGAGTGTACAGGGTCTATATGCCTTGGATTTTTTAGTTTTTATGTCTCATATCTACATTTTTGGGGGGGATTGTTAACAAGTAAAACTATAGGCCTTAGAAATTTACTACACTATCTTCTCAGAAGACAATAAAATCACAAAGACCAATTCCAATGTTTGTAAGATTTTTGCAGAGTAAATACAAATGAGTAAGTCATCTTCATAGAAACGCACCGAGCGCGGTTTGTATGTGAGCACGCGCCAATACGTATGCGGCGCGCACGCACACACTGACAAAATTCAGCGCACCTCACCGCTAATCCACGCAAAATTTTGTCAGTGTGTGCGTGCGCGCCGCATACGTATTGGCGTGCTCACATACAAACCGCGCTCGGGCGTTTCTATGAAGATGACCTACTCATTTGTATTACTCTGATTTGTGTAAAGTAACAGCTGTTGTTGTGACAGTCAAGAAGCTGAGCAAGCGCGAGAAGCGGCGGCGCCAGAACGAGCACCTGCGGCGCATCATCACGCCCAAGAACGCGCTCATGGTGCTCAACGAGATGATGCTCCACGAGCAGCTCACCAACGTGAGCCAGGTCCTAACCCACATCTTACTAAGGCCCAGAACAGACGGTGAAACGAAACTGCAACTTTCTGATGATTCTGATTAGAGATGAAACGGATATCCGGTAACTATCCGGTAGGCCGGATATCCGGCCTAAATTTACTATCCGGCCGGATACCGGATAGTAACTCACTATCCGGCCGGATACCGGATATTAAAAAACTACGACAATTTCCTATTAATAAAATGAAATAAATTAATCTTCGAGGCAAATATCAATAAAATGGCTTATAATAATGACGGCTTTTATATAAAGTCCAAAAAGTTACAAAAAAGCCATATTAAGGCCTTTCAAAAAACTAATTTCATTTTCTGGACTATATTCTCTCTAATGACGAATACAAAAATGGTAAATATCTGTTAATGTCGAAATATTGCCAAATAAAATAGGCGATCGTTTTTTCACTGATGATGGTCTGATGTCATGACATGATGCAGTTCAGTCAGATTACGCAGCAAGTAAACTAATTTAATTTTCGCTTTTCAATCACACACTCACGATGGCAACCGAAATCGCCCGAATTAATCTGCCCCCTAGATAAGTGGCAAAATCTGTCATTCTATTCGGACGGATTCAATTTTCGAAAAGTGTGACTAGTCTAGTCTACTAATAGACCTGATCGCGTTCGAAGCACCTGTGCGGCGCTAAACTCGACACGACATGCAACGAGACAATGGGCCAACTATCCGGCCGCCGGATATCCGGCTATCCGGCCTAGCAGCTGGCCGGATATCCGGTATCCGGTATCCGGCCAAACAACTATCCGTTTCATCTCTAATTCTGATGAATGAAACTGAAACTGAAAGTTTCAAACTGGTCGCGTCATGTGTGGTCTCTCAACGGACGCTATGGCAGAAACTTAGATGCAACTCAAAAGTAACTAGCAGTTGCAGTTTCGTTGCAGTTGCGTTTCACCGTCTGTTCTGGGCCTAACACTTTTTTTTGTTTATTTAACGTTAAACCTTTGTAAACCCTTGAAAGGGAGGCTGATAACAGTGAATGAGTTTCTTGCGCTTCTTCTTTTCGGCACCGGTATATGTAAAAGGGCTTTTTAAAAGCCTACTTGCAAAATAAATGAATTTAAATTATGCTATAGCCGTACGGTATCTCATAACAATGAGACTGTATTTGCGCTTACTGCGCTCACTAGTTGGCGCCACTATTTTGACCAGTAGTGAGCGAGTGACAGGACTTTACTACAGTGGGTCTAGTCAAAACGCACTTTAAAATCGCAAACCCATCGCAAACCAGTCGCAAACAAATAAACAAATCGCAAAAGAGGTCGATAACAAAAAAGGCTTAGCCAAACGGCAAAAAATCGAATCGCAAAGCCCTACCTATCGATAATCGAAAGACTGGATTGAAATTTCCCATACAAAGGTTTAGCCAACATGCATTTAAGACTCAATCAAAATCGAATCGAATCTCAACACCCGCCATTTTCATTGCGATTACTAAAACCCCGGTGATAAGCTTCGATTCGATCGAAAACCAATAGGGTGAGTTGCACCACCTAACTTTGACCGTAACTATGACGTTAACCGGTGTTTTTTGTATGGAGTTTGACAGATTTTAGACGTTTGTCAAAGTTAAACTAAGATGGTGCAACCCACCCTAAGGCTGTGGGTCTAGTCAAAATGCCATCGCAAACCAATAGGAAGTTTTCACTAATGTCAGTCGCCGCGTCACCAGTAATTCAATTCGATCGGAAAATGGCAGCCAAAATGCACATTGAACCACCAACGACGCGGCGATATAAAAGTTCATTCAAAATCGAATAAAAGTTAAAAAATGTCTATGACTGCGATTGTTTTAGCTTTTTTTTTTTTAATTTGTTTCTTCCTTC